AGAAATTCCAGGAGCTTTTCTTCCTCTGAATAGTTTTCTGGTGCTTTATTTGGTCACTTTTTTTTGTCCCATCTTATCCTGATTTTTTGAGTGGCCTGAAGTTATTATCTGTTGCCTCTGAGATATTGCTTTGTTTTTGTCTTTGTATTCTTTTGTTTTTATCTATCTGATTAAGAGGTTCATGTGTATTGTGCTACCTGCTGATTTGATAACTTTGCAGGTATTTCACCTACTGTCTTCCTGTGGATGTGATAAAGAATGGAGGTGTGGGTGCAGTTCTCTGTGCTCTCTGTGTAGAGCCGTTGCGGGAAGACTGGCCCAGGGTTGGTTTCAGGTGGAGCGGGAGCTGTTCTTTATCTTTGCCCCATGGCCAATGCTATGGTTGGGGATGTGTGTGGCTGGATACGGTTGGCAGGTGGGAGGAGGGAAAAGAGAAACAAAACTAAATAACAAAAAAATTCCAAAAATAAAACATAAAGATTGAGCAGTGTAAAAAAGATGAAAAAAACAGAACTGAGAAGACTACAAATAGGAGAACAGTTCAACAAGAAGTGGTTTTTGTTTTGTGTCATTGAACAACAGACCTGAACCACGTATTATCCTGTGCTGTCCTCTCATTTCGGACACACTTGAGCCCATTGCTGCCGCCATTATGCCAACCCGTCTCGTGAATAAGACAAATAATGAGAGAGAAAGGTGAGAAAAGGTCGAGCAAAAAGGTGGGGGGAGGGGAAGAGAGAGAGAAGAGATGGAAAAGGTATCACCCCCCAAGCCACAATAACAAAAAATGATAAATATCAAACAAGCAAACATAACTCCCAAAATCAACAGAGCGAAAAGGAAAGAGGAAGGTGAACTACAGACCTCACCGGTGCTCTTGTCACTGCTGTTGTCGGTGCAGGCAAGGTTTGGAATAATTTGCCAGTCCATCACAAGTTTGGGGTTAGGATGCCCAGTCAGGTCAGAGTTTCTGCTTGTGGAAAGGTTACTGAGACCCCAAGATGTAAGCTGAGCTACAGACAGCACTCTTTTGGTCTTGGAGGTGTCAAGGGGTGAGATACTAGACATGGGATGGGGTTTCTGCTGATTTCATAGGAGCTGAGGGAAGTCTGTCTGCCCAGATAGGGATGTTGTTCTTGCCAGTCCATGGTTGGAGTGAAGGTTATGGTAAGGTGGATACCTAAGCATGTTGTTGTTTTTATGTGCTGTTGAGTTGTCTGCAACTCACAGCAACCCTATGTACAACAGCCCTGAACGCTGTCCTATCCTGAGCCAGTCTCATTGACTCCAACTCACCTCAGCCCGTTGCCCCAGGTATAGTGCCAATCCATCTCATCCAGGGTTTTCCCCTTCTGCATTCTCCCTTCACTTTTCCAAGCATGATGTCCTTCTCCAAGGACTGGTCCCTCCTGGCCATTTGCCCAAAGTATATGAGATGGAACTTCAATCCTTACCTGAAAAGAGAAACTTGGTTTCACCCTCTGTAAGACACATTTATTCTCCTGGCTGTCCATGGTATGTTCAATACTCTTACATAATTGATTATAATAGCTTAAGTCTTCAAAACAACTTTCCAAGGCAGGTTTTTTAAACTTTAGAAAGCAAGGATTTAGAAATGTTGGATAAATTGCCCAAGACACAAAGTTAGTAAGAGGTAGTTGTTCAGATGCCAGTGGCACGGAATTATTAACAAAAACAAAATCATAGACACCAAGTTGATTTCAACTCATGGAGGGTCCTTCTTCCATTGGGTTTTTGAGGCTATAATATTAATGGGAGAAGATTTCCCATATTCCTCCTGTGAAGCAACTGGTGAATTTGAACAGCCAGACTTTTGGTTAGCAGAACAACATGTAATACACTCTATGGCACCATAACTCCTTTACAGAACTGTTACAAAGCCATAAAAAAGGAGATGTGTTACTGCCTGGTCATACTCCCTTCCCATTATCAGAATGACTGATTCTATTTTTTTTTTATTAATTGGTTTGTTTACAGAGTTCATTTTCATTGTGTTTCACAGTATTCTTCATTCACACTGTGTTTTATACAGAATGACTGATTCTTAGAGACTCTGTACAGTGAACCATCTTTGCTAAGAAATGAAGATGTTCAATAATTTCCAAGAGTTGAAATAAAGTGAAAACAATTTGATGTTCAATAATTTCTAAGAGTTGAAACAAAGTGAAAACAATTCTGAAGATTTATTAGTTGATCATACAATTTGCAAACTGGACAACACATAGTATGAAATTATATGTTGTACCTAAAGTGAGGCAGCATTGGGTTTTTATAATCCAAGGAACAAAGAAAGTCATGGAAGTCCAGGGGGCTTTCAGGAGTCTTTTGAACACCACCAAAAATGTCTTTTGAAATCCTTCCTTCCTCAGAATTCTGTTTGGCTTAACAGACTCTATATACATCTAAGGCATCATGCCCACTTGTTTAAAATGTATTCTATTCTAAGTGAACACATGTAAACAAGGTAGCTATTATCTCTTATATTTAATAGATAACGATAATTTCCCTTATGAGACAGGTTTTGACCAAGTTTCTGGAATTGGCAGGAACAAAGTCCTTGGTTAACACTTTTGTTTTAGTCTCCACCATAATCTTTAGCCTCCACACAAGCTATGTGTGTAGTTCAACTGAGAACTTAATTTCTGAGTCTACTGTTCTCAATAAGTCAGTGAGAAAATTACCTAGATTTAGGATTTACTATCCAAACATGGCTGCCCTTATTTATTATTGTACATGCAAACTAAAGTTGAAGTTCCTGGCAGAACTCTAAAAACTGGTCAGAATCATGGAATTGAGAAGTTAAAACACATTTGGGATGCAAGTTGGGATCAATTCTGGAGTAGTAAAAGAAAGGTCTCTCTGTTATCTCTAAGGGGTTCTGGTAGAACAGTAGGTTATGTGGTGGGCTGCTGCCAACTTTCAAACTAGTGATCTTCAAAACTAAGTGGGTAAGGAGTTGTGGTGCCAACCCAAAGGCATGCAGTTTGAATGCACCAGATACTGTGTAGGAGAAGGATAGACACTCTTCCTGTATTATTTACTGCCTCTGAAAACCTGCTGGAACATCAGCTATGGACCGATTCCAACTCGACAGCACATAAAAATAACACAACAGAGATTAGTAAATCATCACTACTCAGTTGGGTGTGTGGATATGAGGTGAGATGATGCAAGATGGAACACTGTAACATTCACATTTGGAGTATGAAGATAAAGAGAAGCCAGCTAAATATTAGGAGGAAAACAATGTCTGGTGTCATAAGGGGAGAAAAATTAAGCATAATAGTAAGATATCAACAATGTCAAATTCTACAGAAAATGTTAACACTAAAAAGTGTCCATTGGACTTATTCTTAGGGGACTGTTGGAGATACTTGTTTGATAAGCTCTTGTGGAATGATAGGTGGATAAGCAAGATGTCTTAGGTCAAGGAATGGGTGGAATGTAGGAATGTAGAGTTTAGGGATGCTCATACTGCAAGGAGAAAAATCGAAGAAGAGAAAATCTAATTATAAAACAGCTGCATCATGAACCAACTTATTGGGCATACAGGGTGGAAAGAACTGAGGGGGAGTAGCAGACCAACTCCGTCTAAAGAAAGGAGGAAGCAGCCTCTACCCACCCAGTGCAGAAAAAATGGGTGGAGACTGGACCTAACAGTGTCTTTGTTATTATCCAGCATTAGCTATCCTGTCCCTAAAGACAAGTCTAGCAATGCGTCATTCCCAGAGGTCAGTCCTAAGCAACAAAGAATTTCCCAGAAGATGAAATGTTTTTTTCCTCTTAATTTATGTGTTCCCCAGAGTCTTTGAGGTTTGAGCCATTTTAATGAAGAATTCCAGCTATTTCAGCAGTCCTTTCCAAAGACCATCATGTCTGTTCTTCTCTGGGTGGTATTATTTTGCTAAAGAATAGGATATTCTCCCCTTCATCTAGAACATTATTGCATTTCCAAAAGAAAGAAACTGTCTGGACTCTTGTCTTCCTTGGTCCCTCATCTGACTGTGCCTTTCCCGTTTCTATGAGTTTGAGACAATTAGAAATCAGACATTCTTGGTATGAGCAAGAAACACCCAGATTGTACTATACATCAAGTTTCTGTTGCTTCCATATAGGCTGTTCATTCTAGGGAGATCTCAAATCTTGACAGGAAATACAATCTATTTCACTATGTGGAATGTGGGAGAGGGAGGATAATCTCATTAAATCTAACAGGCAAAAACTGGCAAATAAAGCATCATACCTGTTTATTGATGAATGACCATCAGCCAGTTTTATCCTGAGGAAAAATTGACACACGAGATACAGCTTAGAGAACATGACATTATGTGGGGAAGGATAGTTGGTTATCTTAGAAGAGGTATCCATCATCGTATGGGGAAAGGATTTTCAGGGAAATGGCATACTTGGATCCACAGGCCAAGGCATCTTCTTCCTCAGATAAAGTCTTCCTGTGATAAATTCCTTAGTTGTGCTTTTATCCCGTCACGTGAGCTCACCCTTACTACATTAACTAACACATCCTTTCTTCTTTCAAGGCATAAAAATTGATTAAGACTTATTTTCTTAGTTATAACCCAGAAACTCAAGTCACAAGGCTGGACACTGTTTTTAAAAGTGTGGGTGCTTCAGAGAACAAGAAGAAGACCCTCAACAAGAGGGACTTGAGATGTGCAGAGGTTGGCGAGCTCTGATGACCTAGTGGCAAGAAGCTGCACTGCAATCCCGCAGGTGTGCGGTTCAAATCCACCAGATGCTCTGCTGAAGAAGGAGGGACAATCTCTTCCTGTACCTGTCAGATCTGATTTGACAGTACACACACAAATAATAATAATAAAAAAATTTAAAAAAATAAAAGAAATGCCGAGATGTGCAGAGGTCATGAGGATGCTGCAGCAGGACCAGGGCCAGTCGTGCCGACTTGATGGCCTCAAACAACAACTCTGTACAAGCCGACTGTCCCCTCTTTCTCTTGCCGAATGGCTAGTGAGTTCTGTCTACCAACATTTGGTTACCAGGCTAGACTGAAGCACTGCGCCACCATGCTCCCTGAGGAGCCCAGTACAGCAGTCACAGAAACGATGAGCAGAGAGCTGCCTCCCCTCCCCCAGGCTTGGCCCTCTCCAGAGTAGGGACGGAGAGGCTAGGCCACTTCTCCTATCAGCAGCTGCCCAGGAGTCAATGTTCCTGGGGCCAGAGATCATTAACAAGGATCTCCGGTATTCTCGGTATTCTCGCAGGTCTGAGAACCTTCCACCTGGCTCACAATGGGGACTGTTAGGGGTGGGGATGGGAGGGCACTGCTGTGTGGCTTTGGCTGTGCTGACACCTGGACTTTTCTGTCACCTGGGCTGGTGACAGGTCCACTTGAGATAGGGACTCACTCTCACATCCTGCCCCAGAGCCTGTCCTTCACCCCAAGGAGAGCACGCTCCCTGGACATTTGGGCATAAAACAAGAATGCTGGTTAAAAAAAAAAAAAAGTGGGTGCTCCTCTCATCTCTGTGTTGATCTTACGAGTTTGATTTTCTGACGAACCTTATACACATTTCTCTAACAACTTCTCTTTGTTCCTCACTAAATTAATATAGAAATATGCTTAGAAAATAATGTAGCATAGTCGTAGATTATCCCTCTGAAATACCAGTTTTCTCTGTCACACTTTTAACAGGAAACAGATACTAATCAGTGATAAGTTTGAGTTTCTACATAAGTTTGTGACACATAGACATTTGTTGATGGCTGATGAAAGAGCCATCTACTTAGATGCTAGATGATTGTTGACAAAGTTACTGTGGATATTTACAAGACTGGCCATATCTTATCTTGAAGTCCATGACTTCTTGTGTCAAAATACTAGAGGTTTCACATTTTCTTCCAAATAAAGCTTTGGATCTATCCAAGATCTGGCCAAGGGAGACTTGACAATTCTGCCTAGTAGACAATGAAAGAGATGACATCGGTATGCAAAGAGAAAGTGAGTGAGTGAGTGAGCACCCAGAAATGGCTGCTTCAACAAATCAACTTGGTGAATGACTAGCAAGGTGGTAGAATGGGCAGAGGGCAGTGAAGTTAATATCAAACCACCAACACACAATTTCTCATTTACCCACATTCTGGGTACTTAGCATATTTGCTAGGAAACCCTCTATAATTCTTTATTCTGCAAGCTGTGTGTTCCCAGAACCTTTAGGTTTTCAGGAATTTCTGAAAAGAAGTGGTATCCACTTCCTAAACAACATGCCTCTGGGAACTCTATGAACTTTGATAAATGTCAAATAGTTACAGAGGGGCTTCAGGCCTTTTGTTCATAGGGTCGCTATGAGTTGTGCTCAACTCAAAGGCAATCAAAAACAACAAAGCATTAAGGAGAGAAAAGAGAAAGGGGAGAGAAAAGGAACAGTGATGGAAATAGGGAGAGAAGAGAGGCAATAAGAAATTCAGATGGTAAAATATTTTGAGAATAACTGTACAGAAGGGAATTGACATGGCAGTCCCTGGATGGAATTTAGTAGCTGATTCTTGGTTTGCATCTGGTAGCTTGGATTTCAAGACTCCCACAATATCCAGATTGAACGAGGGAGCTGTTGTATCTGGGCAGTTTGTGCAGGCATATGGTTTATACTTTTCCTTTTGGAAAATTTTGCTGGAATTTTGTTGCCTGCTAGATAGAATATACCTATGTAAACATTTCCTCAGTGGAAACCCTGAGCACTGGATCTGTGTTGAAATTCCCTGATAGGCAACACTGGGCAATACTTTGTCACAGCTTCTTGCTAAGATAATGAATCATCATTTCTTGTGTGACTACTAAGAGAGGACTTTTGAAAATTATTTTCTTGGTTTCCCTTCAGGATTTGACCCATTTACCTTGCTACTTTGCTGATTTTGGGTCATGGAGCCATCAGAGTTCCCAACATCATAATTACTGTATATTACAATAATTCCAAACTCCTAAGCCAAACTCACTGCCGTCAAGTCAGTTCCAAGTTACAGCAACTCTCCATCAGGTGTCTAAGGCCATCTTCCTCCCACAGAGTGACTGGTGGATAAATTGTAACCTTTAGGTTAGTGGCCTAAAGTTATGCACTGTCACTAAGCTGTATATTTCATTAACAAGATTTATTGTCTTTTCTTTGAAATATCTATTTATGGTCTTTGTTAACTTTTCTATTAGGTGGTGGTGGTTTGGTGCGCTCAAGTTACCTACAACTTACAGAGACCTTATGAGCAATATCTTGTACCGTCCTCCTGATGCCCACTCTGCTTAAGCCCATTGTTGTAGTCACTATTTCATATCCAACGCATTGAAGCACTTCTCTTTCACTGACCGTCTACCTTTCCCAGCATGATGCCCTTTTCCAAGGACTGGCCCCTCCTGGAAATATGCTCAAGATGTGTACGAATAAGTTTCATCATCTTTGCTTCAGAGGAGCACCTTGGTTTCATACTCTCCAAGACAGACCTTTTTTTCCTTATGACAAACCCTGCATTTAATACCCTTTCCAACACCCAATTCAAAAGCACGAGTTCTTCTTCTGTCTTCCTTATTGTCCAACCTTCAGATAGGGAGGAAGCAACTGAAAATACCATGACTTGGATCAGGGGCATTTAGGCTTTAAGCTGACATCTTTGCACTTTAAAGAGGTCTTTGACAGTTGCTTTTTTCACTGCAACACTTAAAAAAATACTTCTTAATTGTAGATAACATGGGTGTTGATAGTGGATCCAAGTAAAATGACATCATTGGCACCTTCAATCTTTTCTCCATCTATCTAAATGTTGCCTATTGGTCCACTGGTGAGGAATTTTATTTTCTTGATGTTGAAGTGCAGTCCGTAGTGAAGGCTGTAGTCCTTGAACTTGTTAAATAAGTGCTTCAAATGTTGCTTACTTTCTGCAAGCAAGATTGTGTGGGCTGTTGATGAGTCTTTCTCCAATCCTTTATATTCAGATAGTCCAATTTCTTTAGTTAGTTGCCTAATATTTAGACCCAGTAAGTATGGAGAAAGGCTACAACCCCAATGCACACTTTCCCTCCTTATAAACCATGCAATATTCCTTTAGCCTGTCTGGACAACTGCTTCCTGATCTAGCGTAGAGGTTTCATATGGGCAAAATTACGTCTTCGGGAATGCTCATTCTTTTTAATGTTATCCATAATTTGCTATGAGCCACACAGTTGAAAGCCTTTACGTTCAACTGGTTTCTATTAGGTGGGCTGATTATTTTCATAGTAATTTTTAATTATTTAAGTATTTGAAGAATATTTAAGAAACACAGTGTGCAAATATTTAAAAAAATCTGTCCTCCAAAAGGACTGATTTCTATTAAATGTGTTGATTATTTTTCAGTGATATTTTATTATCCCTTAAATATTAGGAAAACCAGCTTATTTCATAGCTGTTGCAAACTTTTTCTCAGTTTACAGTTTTCCTCACTTTTTTATGGTATATCTTAGTACAGAAAAGAAGTTTACAAACTTCTGGAATTTGTAGCTCATGAGTTTCAAAACTGAGGAGGTAAAAATTAGAGAATCTCTCTAGAAAATAAGACTGATGCTGAGTGACCAGGTGACTCAATTGTGCTCCTCTTAGTCCACTGCCCTTTTCTCATGGTCTGCAAATAACCCAGGCTTCTTGGCAAATGCAATTGCTTTGAGAAAAGGCTAGATTCCCCAGGGCACAGTTCTTCAGTTTCAGATGTGGAAGAAGATTCATTTAGTGGAGGCAATGCTGCAGAGATTATCAATAGACAAGATTGTTAGGATGTGTTGGCTGAGACACAGGGAATTCCTGTCTACAGTCTCAGTGACATCACTTGGCTGGAAACCACCCTCCTTCCTGCCAACTCCGCCCTTAACCATGGGATTCCACATTGACCACAGAGAACTATTGTGCGTGGTGTAGTGTATGGGTGAAAGAACTCAGGGTAGACCAGAAGTGTAAAAACAAAGACCTGGTGGGTGGTGTGAAAAGGAAGAGCGAGAGAGAAGAGATCGCTTGGCTTCCTTATTTCCTACACGCGAGACCTCTGCTGGCACTTGGTTTTTGTAGACATTAGCATTTTTAGTTCTGTCCTCATAATCAGAGGAGAGGACATCCCACAGCAAGAATAGGTGGAGAGCTCAAAGTAAAAGAATCTGCTTTGCAGAAAGAGCTTGTTCTGCATTTTCATTCCTACCCTCACTGCCTGAGTGTGTACTCCCGACCCAAAGCTGATGGTCTTTTGGGCACTGTTAGTACCAGACAGAGTTCAATGTGGAGATGAATGCACTCCTTTTTAAATGTGAGAGATTAAATAGGAAAATAACTTGATCATTAACATTTTTTCAGAGTAATAATTTATTTTAAATATATATGCATTAGTTTAAAATATCCATTACACGTTTTAAATTGTCACATAAAGCCCTGAACAACAAAAAGAGAATGACCTCAGTTTCAAATAATTAAAATCGAGTTTTAGTCTAATAATATATATTTACATAGTCTTTATAGTTTGTATTCATATTTGGGTACATAGTCACATTTCAGTCATGTCACTATAAACATCTAAATAGAGAAAGAGTGTGAGCGAGCATTTGGCCTAGTGGACAGAAAGCCATGCTCAATATCCCAATATCCCAAGCCAAAGGTCGTGTAACCCTGCTATGTCCACTTGCTGTACAGAGGTAACTCGTGGTTGCTGTGAAGCAGAATACTGAGACACTAATGAGTCAAATGCGAGAATGGTTACCCATGGTGGACAGTGTTTGGTAGAGCTCCTCGATTAAAACAAGCTTGGAAGCAGGAGTGGCATCCACTTCCTAAATAGCTTGCCTCCAGAAACCCTATGAACCTGGAGAAAGGATGAAAGTTACACAGGAAGCGTCCAGGACTTTCATTCATAGGGTCGCTACAAGTTGCCTGTGACCCGACTGCACTTAACAACAACCACCACCGGGGGCGGGGGGGAGAGAGAGAAAGAGAAAGAGAGAGAAGCTGGCTTAGCAGACAGAAAGCCATGCTCCCAAGCCAAAGGTGGGTGACTATACTCAACGGCCCCCAGGCTTGTCTTTAATT